AGAGACAAAGATGGCAATGGACTCAGCCAGCTGCCAGCAGGAAATTCTTCGATGTCCTTGCTAAAACAGGAACCAAAGATTCTCACATGAACACTCCAGAAAAGGTAACTGTCTCTGAATGACCTTCAAAATCAGATCTGCAATTTCCAATTTTATAGTCTGTTGAAAAGGTATTAGCAGCTATATTCTCTGTTGTGGTATATATGATGAACTGTCATATTTCTAAGGTACATTCACATAATCAGAGAGGCTAAACTCCAATCAAATGAGAATATAGAAAATATTTAGAAAGATGATGATTGAAAAATCTGATCTCTCCTTCACACCCCTCAAAAGACCATAAACTCATGGCAGTTACATCTTTCCTCCCTCTCTGGTCCAACAGTTGCATATGTTGAAAGGTGGAGAAGGTGACAATTAGGGTCAGAGTATTTTATGGCCCTGTAATCTGTGCAAACCTCTAGGCTGCAGATGGAACTAGTTCATACATAGCCAACAGCTTCACTGGCAAATTGTGGAGATGTCTTGTCTGGATTACTGTATATGGAAATTTGGACACTATTTTAGAATGTGAGAGAAGCAGAAAGCCTCATGAAGCAAATGAAAGAGTTTGGCCTCATAGCAAATGAAAATATTCCAACCACTAAGATATCTAACCTTCATCTTAAAATATATGGGGTTTTTTTTGGAAGAAAAGACTTTTTTCCCCTGAATATTCTGTTCTATAAGAGGGTTCGGGGCTTTGAGTCAAGTCATATGAGCTTATGAATTCTTTGGGAAAAAGAGCATAATACTAAACTTTTGGGTTGTGCACTGGCTTGTGTAAATGCCATTCAAAAGGGTCTAACATTTCTCTGTGTATTTTTAAAAACCTAGAAGATGTAGCTTTAGCAGGGACAGCTCTGGTTTTACAAGTCTCCATTTGGGATCTCGTCTACCATTATCATTATTAGTCTGGGCTCTTCTTTTAGAGGACTTTTCTTCACATATTGCACAAATGCTAATAAAAATTACTTATTAAAATAGATGCTAAAAAGACTGCCTCTAAGAGTTGGCCAAAGTGCTTTAAGTAAAGATTTTTCAAGTGAATAATGCTTTTTAAGCCAGACATAAGAGAACCATTAGGAAATATCAATTTAACCAGTCCAGGGTGCGTTCTCTTTTCAGTTGATACACAAAGGAGACCTAAGCTGAAAATCTGTTTCAATCAATTAAATTTCAGGTACATGGAAACATTTGGAATCTTTTGTTTTCACTGTGTCAAGGAAAGAAAAAGATCCAGAAAGCTCAATACTGGCATAAAAAAAATAATAATAATAAAAAAATTGTTTCTGGACTATCTTCTTCAGTTTCTAATCAATGCAGTGCTGTAATCTTCAAGATTACTTTTGAAGAGCATGCCAAAAGACCTGAGTCAGCTTTTAATGACAGTATCATTGTATGTGAAGTTGTACCATATTTCCATCTGTTTCTTGTGTGCTGACTGCCTTCGGGAAGTGTGGGAGGAGCATGTGATTTAAGAATTATTACAATTGTTAAATATAGAAGGAATATTTTTCAAAGTCTCTGATGGGAGATGGAGCTAAAATTCCTTTCAAACTTTCACCAGTAAGACTTTATATATTAAAAAAAAAATTCCCAAGGGCATGCTACTGACTTTGCTTTTGCCTGTATACCCACTTAGAATATGAAGAGAGGGAAGAAGAAATTAAACCAAGAGCATGAAGAAACTTATTCAACATGGAAATTTTAAATGTGCTGTGTCTCAAGTGACAACACTCCACAGGACAGAACCTGTGTCACACCAGACACCTCCAAGTGGATGCTGCAGTTTGGGTGATACTTTGTGAGTGCAAGGAAGAAATATGCAAACCAAAAACCTCCATGAAATTAAGAAAATAGAGGAAGAAATATTTCACATAAGTTGTTCCCAGTCTCCCATTAAATTATATGAGATTAATTCATAAAAATGTTCCAAACCTTTAATGTAATTGAGCATAGAACCCTTTGCTTTGATTGCACACAAAATCTGGTTGCAGAAATTCAGCAGACTTGGTATAGCAGCAACAAAATTCAGATACTCATAAAAATGAGGTATTTGAGCTAATGTAAAGTTACCTGCTTCATGGGAACAGTTTATAAAAACATTACAAATACGTAGGATAGCATGGATGTAAAAATAAACAATAAATTAGATTTTGAAGGTTAATGTGTCCTTTGAATAAATAGCAGAATTTGGGTGATCCCTTCTGTTCTGGTTTGCACTGGTAGGGATATCTCACAGTTATGATGATAGATAAGCTTGCTAAGGGAGCAATCATCCATGTAAATTCATCTGACATCAACAAGAATCAAGAAGAGGGAGGCAAAGCAAGCTTCTGCTTTCAATGGAGAATAAATATGGTGTTAGAGTAGCGCATTTGTCAATACCAGGCACAAAGAATGTAATATTTAAAAACTCAAAGCACTAAATGCAGCAGTCCCTCATCACACAGAAATCCTGCTGAGGACAATGCAAGTCTTGCTTGATGAAAGGCTGACAAATCTGTCCCAGGGACCTGATAAAACAAACAATGGTTATTTCTGCTTATTTCATACTGTCACACTTAAGCATAAATGGGTGAATTTCAAGCACAGCAGGAGGGCAATAGAAAAACCACGGCTTAAGCAAATTGCTAAGCAACATTTCAGTGCCTACAAGTCTCACTTACAAACTTCTGCTAGACCAACAAATAGAGCAATACTGGAGAAGAATTCTTAAAAGCCACCAGGACTTTGGTAAATTCTTAAACCTTTAAGTCAGGAGATAAGTTTACTGGCACCACTAATTTGGGGACCTCTTTAAGCAGCTCTCTCCAGCTTGAGTCACTAAGAGAGCTGGAAGTTCTGCTGCTTGTAATACAAGTAATACAGTAATACAGTATTAATGATGAAAGCAACACCATAAATATTGTTTGCATTAATAATGCAGGTAACAGGCTAACTATTGTCTCTCTACTTTACAATGCAAGCACTACTTGAGGATATTCAGTTCACTGTCAAGATGATGACAGCTGCTTTTTGCTGATTCTTTAATTCTAAACTAGAAATATCAAGATTTATTTTCAATCAAGATTTAATCTGCTTTTAGAAATACCATGAAATCAACAGATTTAAGGATAGTTGTTTTCCTGACTTTGTTTTCTGGGGCCAAATCATGAATACTCTTAGGATTAAGATGAGCAGGTTTTGTGTTGTTTGTTTTTTGTTTTTTTTAAATAAAAACTCCTTAAAGTAATTACTGAGTTAAGTAATTTATGCACAAAACAAAAATTTCAATAATAATGTGTTCATGTACTACTTTATAAAATCACCTATCAATATTACATCTTAATACCTCAAACACAATTGGTACACATTTTGTTAAACTACTATCTGAAACAGAAAAACAGCATTTTCAATTTCAGATAAAAAGCTACAGTGGTGGGAATCAAATGGCTTGTTCAGGACTGCAGAGAAAATCTGTGGTGCAGGCAGGAAAGCCCTGACTCCTACACCAGTGCCTTCATGGCAGCATCCTAATTCCTTCCAACTGAAAAAGAAGAGAAATTTCCAGGTCCATGTATGTGACACAAATGTACTCATGCAGTGGGTGCAAAGCTGGAACTTTTGCTGATATTTTTATACTTAAAAAAATATTTGCATATTACATCAGAGATGCTCGTTATTATATTCAGATCTAGTGACAGTAACAAATCCCAATAATTGCAGTGGTAAGCTTTGAAATACTTACACATGGGTATCAAAATAATTCCAAAAAAAGGCCAAAGTATCAGAAAAGCACATTTAGTTTTATGCAAATCCTACCACTACTGCCTTTCTTTACAGCACATGCCTTGTTCAAAAGCAGGGAAAGCAGGGACTAAGGCCAAGTCAGGATGCATGTGCTCCAAATATGTTTCTCTAGCTAGAAAATAAAAGCTTCTTATGACTAGATTACATAATGCTTCATCTTAAATCCTCATAAACACTTCAGTCACCTTTTCTTCAAATGGCTTTATGCCACTGGCTTGACAATTACTACTTCTGCTCTTTTGCACAATATTAACAAAGCACAAGGTCAAAACTGTCTCCTGAACAGCTCCACAAATTACTAGTGATCTTGAAATTCATGGAGAACACCAAAAAACCCTCTTAGGACACTCAGGGATATGAATCTCACCCTATTTCCTTCCCAGAACCTCTTCACTCTGCTGCTAACTTGGTTGCAAGCAGAAGTGAGGAGAATTCAGGTTGGATGTGACCTCAGCAGGTCCTGGAGTGTTTGTTCCTGCTGAGAGCAGGGTCAGCTGAGAGGAGCTCAGCAGCCACAAGGTGCCAAAGCCTTCCCTCACTCTCACAGCTACCAGGAGCAGACAAAGCACCACAAACCTCGTAGCTGAACTTGGTGCCTTCCCTATCACCTGCACCACACCTTTATGCAAACATCTGCAGACATACACCATGTATCTTTCAGCTTCAACTTTGAATAAACTTAGGTAAGTACGGATGCAACAAAAAGATTTTAATGTTAGTTTCTTCTGACTTTTAATGTTATACATTTGTTCACCTTTGATAGCAGATTGTATGGTTCTTTTTATTCTGCAGCAGAAATGCAAACAGACAGTGAGGAACAGACAAGGTTCCAACTATTCATGTGCTAGTTACGTTGCAAACAAATCCTGATATTTTCAAAAAGGCTGGTTCTGAGTGTGGATACTGTAAACCTATTGGGGAAAAAACATGATTACTGCAAAATAATTTTAGATATTATTATAAACCTATAAGTGCTATTTTGGTAAACACTGCTTCCTTTTAGATTAATGGTGCATTTGTACAATATGTGGAATTCATGAATCATATATAATAATGGGAAAGGCTTATTTGACTTCTTTGGTATGTATTTCTGTTTAGTCAGCAAGAAAATGATTCAGATCTTAAATGATGAATGATTGCTCTATCTACAGTCCCATGTTCTTTTACAGACTCCTTCAGCAGCTAATATTTCTGAAGTTCTTAAAACACTTCTAAGACAGTTTTTTTATTGCTGGTAGGTGTTGGAGCTGTATTTTCCACGTGGAATCATCTTTCATTTGGTAGCACTTTTTCAACCCAGCTTGAATGAAGGTAAGAAACATGCTTTCTGTACAGCACTGTGGTCAGACAGCCAGCCACACTTTCCATGTTTAAAGTTCTCTGTAAAACTGTCATGTAGTTTCACATACCTGCCCTGCTGTAGTCACCCTAGGACAATACCTTAATAGACCTTAAGCAGAGTGGGAGGACCAGCTAAGTCTGACCTCCAAGGACCAGTTAACTGCTGCAATAAGCAAAATTATATTTTATATATTATAAATTATAAAATTATATTTTAGCCTCCCCAGGAAAGACCAGCACCATCTGCAGTGACTCTTGTTTAAGGTACCAAACATGGAGCACATCTCATGCTGGGCTTCCCTACATCAGGCTGGTAACTTAAACCTGAAATTGTTCAAGTTAACTGTGGGTTTTTTAACATTTACCAACTGCAATACTTTGTCAAAGTTACCAAGTCAAACTTGACATACTTTAAAAGATCATTCTGTATTGAAAGTTAATGACAGATAACTACTGTGAAGCACTGTTTTAATTTGATAGCATAACATGCTGAAAAATGGTGGCTTTCACTTAGGAAAAAAAATAGTTTGAAGGTTAAGAGCTCTCATCATCTACCTATATTGGCAGAAAATGATTATCATATTATTTCTACTCAAAGTGAAAAAAATAACATTGTGAATTCCAAATCACAAGAGTGCTGCATGATTTTTTTTTTAATAAAAACAGCTTCTCATTTCAGTATGGAATTGTTTCTGCTGGCTAAGCAGGTGGTGTTGGAGAGCAGGCACAGCTCTTACCTTTAATTCACCACTATTCATACCTAAAAGATGATGCATGACATCCATAGCCCTGACAGAATTTGAACTATAGGAAACTTTAGCCAGTTATGCTGCCATTAATCAGCTAAATCTGGCTTTGAACATTCCTTAAAGGAGCACAGTAGGAGTGGAATGAGGGCTGGAATGGGTCTGACCTGACAGAGGCCACTGCCTGTGGAGGGCGTTTGTCACTGCTGGTGTGACGGTGCTGCCTGTGATTTGCTCTGGGGCAGTGGTTTTCCTCTCTGGAAAAAGATGCCCCACACACAAAGAATCTCTTACCTTTGTAATACACCAAGTAGGGCCTCTCATTGCAAATCCTGTGCAAAGCAGCTCTGAATTTTATTTACATGCATTATTGCCTGCAGGCGCCACAGGACCCCAAGACAGTAATAAGATATGCACAGAGGATATAGGAGAGTCCTGTTTATAATCCAACTTAAAGGGAGTTAAAGTGAGATGAAGAAGAAGAATCAGAATCATCTGACACTTTTTTAATACATGGATGACATGGTTATCTCTAAAGAGTGGTGTGATAATCTGGTACCCATTATGTAAGAGTAGAGATTTGAATTTTTAGGGGGATTTGAATATTAGCTTAAGGAAAAAAAAAACAAAACTAAAGGAACAAACAAATTCCCAGACTTTATGCAAATTAAACAAATTTCATATATTACAATAACTTAGCAAAGTGTTCCTTGTACCAATCATCTGGTCTTCAGGACTAATAGCACTTCAGGAGAATTAAAACAGGAAAGTGAAAAACACACATGGCCAAATGATAACACTAAACTAGAAAAAAAATCAGTATTACAATTGCAGAAATAGTTATCTAGTCACTGCACAGAAAAACTCTATTTGTCCACTGAGTGTATTTTGCCTCATGGTTCCTAAGACAGAAGAGAGTCACAGAACTTCCTGCATTTGTTTCACAATAATTCTTCTGATTTGGCATATAAGCAGTTGAAATGTATCTAAAAATGATTCAATCTGTTTAAACTGCAGGGAAAATCATTCCATCATGCTAAGAACTAACAAGCTACAAAGGAAAAAGATGCACAGTAATGACAGAAAGTGACCATATTACTCTTTGTAATAATGCTTTGTGCTGAGTGTTCATCTGATTGGACTTAAGCCAAATTGGAAGGCATCCTTATATATATAAATTTTATACTTCCCAGAACATCTTCAGATAACTTTATATTGATTCAAAGTAGAATAATTTTCATTTTAGCATGCTTAATTTAAAAATTCTGAAAATACTTTTGGTTTCAGAACTATGTTCCTGTCTTTAATTTATCTTCCAGGTACCAAACACAGCTGAAGCTTGAATGAATTAGGCACTAATTCCCTAGTTATGAATGTTCAAAACTGACAATTTTGGTTATACTTAACACCTTATACTTAACATCCTGCTGTTGGACACCAGGGTTTCTGTGTTCCCATCTTGTTAGACCTCAGACTAGACTAGTTAGACTGCCCCTCAGAATCACATTTTAAGTTGGAATAGATTTCTAAGATTGTCGAGCCCAAAACTTCCAAGTCCACCACTAAACAGTGTCCCTAAGTGACACATCCACAAGTCTTTTAAATGCCTCCAGGGCTGTTATGTGCCAAAATTACATCTGAACATAAATAACTTGACTCTTGTGAATGATACCACCATGTCAACTTGAAGGCTGTAAATTATATTATTGAGAACAGGAGAATATTTCCCACTGTGACAAGAGAGGTCAGCACAGCAGACAGAGAAGGAATCACTGCTTAGCCATTAGGGAAACTAATGGGGTAAATATAATCTGATAAATGTACAAACAGCTCACATTAATTGCTGCATTCATGTATGCATAAACTAGAGCAAGTGATGCAAGCTGAAGAAAACATGCTTAGAAACTAAAAATACGTTTTGTTCAGCAGAATCTGAAGGCATATTAGAGAGAATATGATGATAGAAAAAGGAAAATTAACGAGAGCTAAATAACCTACTGATTACTGTACTTTAACCATATTCATCTCGATTTATACAAGGGCAGGTTCGGTTGCATGATGCTTAGATGGTGTGAGAGCTAGAATAACCTGGTTTTATGTTATGAATATTTGGCTCAGTAAAACATTCATTATGCTGGTTTGTTTGATTTTCAACACTCTTGTCTGGCACAGCAAGAGATGAACTTGGAGGGAATGGCCATAACCAGCAAGTCCAGCTTCAGGCTCTCTGACATCAGGTCCATTCTGTGTATGCTGCTGGAGCTACACTGGTTTGCTTGGGTTTACTCTCAACTCTAACAACACAGCCAGGCAGACATAGGCTTTGTGCCTTCCAAGGTGTGAAAATTGCTCCCAAACTTCTCAGGGCATATGTTATTTCCTGCAGGAAAACATAAAAGGTATAAAACCACAAATGTTTGCTTATTCAATGTAAAGCTCTGCCCTTGTATGCAGAATTAAGCTCCCATATGTTTTCCTTTCTGAAGTATCTTTTTCTCTATGGCAATAATACCAGAAACAAAACAAGAGATAAAGTTAAAAATGTTGTCACTATCCAAACGAATATGAAATTTCATAAATATTATGGCTTGTGCTATAGCACTTCAAAAATACTTTAAACAGATGGGCTAGTGAGACTGCCATTCATGTTTTAGCAGTCAAGAGGCATGTTTAAACTGCTGGTTGAAACACAATATAAAGCACATTCCACACATAGTGTCAGAAAAAAAGACTTCTTTGCTAAGAAATCACAAATTTATTTTTTATAAAATATGTAATTGGATGGCATATTTTATATTACTGTAATTTCTTGATAAGAGAGCAGTGGTGCAAGAAAAAAAATACTGCTATACTCTAGAAGTAAAAGAAGCAAAAAAGAAAAGAATCTTGTTTCTCCAAATAAAGTATCACAGTATTTTTCAAACAACTATCTGGATGAAAAGCTGAAAACTGAAAGTTTTGTATATTTCTCTACACCAAAAAAGCACAATAACATCCCTAGAAAACAGCTAGGGGAAAGATATTTTCTTCAAGTGACAGCAGTCTAATGGAGATAAAGAATGAGGATAAGAATTTTAATCCATATTTTAATGAAGATAAAGGTGATAGATAAAGGAAGAGAAGAAGGAGGAATGTGTTCTGTATCTTTCCCTACTGTTTGAGGTAGGCTCCTACTGGAAGGACATTAGTTAACCTCAATGGTCACGCTCCAGAATTTCACTATATAACAAATCCCCAAAGTAATCTGCTCTATATCATCATCTTTTAAGTGCTAAAAATTAATCATTTAAAAATATCCTATAGGTCACTTTGATTTTCTAGTGAAGATTTCTGTTCATTTATAAGCTCCACAATGATGAAACACAAAGGTAACAAAATATGAACAAAAAATTATCTGTAGCCTTATATCATGATACAGAATTCAGTTTTACTTTTAACACTCAAATCTAAAGGAATCCTTTTGCACAGGGAACAGAAGTATGTGGGTTATGGGAGGGAACAGAGGAGGTAGAGAGGCAGAGCTGCCTCTGAGAAGGAAAAACTGCTGTTGGGAACTACTTTCTGCATTTAGAAAAACCAAACATAATGTCAGTTCTCCCATTCCCAGTAGGTGAAACGGGGAAAGCCAAGCTTGTATGTTGTTCCTTGAAGCCCTGTAAGAGATAAGGAGTTGTGAAGCTGTAGCCTTACACTCCACCTATCTCCACAAGGATGTAAGCTGAGCTTAGATAATGTCTCCCACAGGACTTGGTAATCATTCCTGCTTGGGTCCATTATCTGAGCAGGAAAACACATCTCTTCAGTCTCAATAATGAACAATAGCTTAGAGTCAGATTCTAATCTTACAGGTTGGCATTCACAAGTGTTAACAGATGATTCTAGGACTCAAGTATATTCACTGGCTATGTAACTCACTTTTTTGTTGAGTCAAAACAAATGGAAGTGAATTCATCTCTCCCAGCTGCATGTGGAAACACTCTTCAGAGCTTGGAGCACTTGGATTCCTTTGCCTTCCCCTTTCCATATCTGGTCCTTATTCTGTAATAGAGCGATAAACAAAATTAAAAGTAGAGAATTTGCATCATTTACTAGAAAGTGATCTCTGCTCAATTAATTTGAGACAGTCAAGACCAATTATTCTAGAAACAAAACTAATGCATAGAAAATACAAGTGATTTGTCAGTGTGTTAGGCTTAAGGGGCCACTCACCATCCCTTATTTAAGTTACATCCCTCAGTTGTAGGATATTATTTAATCAATTCTTTGTGAGGTCTATTGCTTGCTTTTATATGCTTTGAGTAAACTAATTTTTGGAATTTTTTGCATGCTTTTTTAGGCAACAGATATGTAAGAGCAGTACTTGAACCCCAATGCAGCAATGAGGTGTTGGATATCCTGTCATTTGTTCTCAGACCTACTGCTCATACTGTGCTGTGCTGCCCATATGAACAGGATCAAATGAGGGTATGAGAGAAAAACCTGTGAAAATAGCTGTGAGATAGATGGATCAGAAGTAGATTTAGGCTTATTTTTCATTTTTAACCACACTTTCTTTTGTTGCAGATTCAGTCACAGGGAATTCTTCCCCTTCTCCCCAAGCCCAATAAGCCAGAATCTCTACAGGAATCATTGAAGTGCAGCTCTTATTTTTCCCACTAATGGCTATGCTGGACTATATCAGAAGGAGAAAAACTCCATAAAACACCATTCAGGAAGAAATTTAAAAATAGAAATTCTAACTCCCAAAGATTATGACTGACAGAGAGCAGAGATGGATGGTGCAGGCAGAGGGGATAGTAGCAGCCATAACTCTAACTTTGCTGCCATTAATGTTTATGTTGTGTATGAAGTGGTTTACCAACATCCTGATGGACTGGCATAATGTGCAAGCACACGATTTATTTCTTCATGCAGCAGCTATGGGAGAACACAACCACAAATGGAAGTTTCAGTAGAGACAGTTTCAAATAGAGAGATTTATCTTGACAAGTAGAGAACTGCAATAAAAGATGTATTATTTGGTGGAATAATTGGTAAATGCATTATCCTGTCAACATTTAACTGTTACAATCAACTTAAATAATCAAAGCTGCCCTCGAGGTTTTATTGTTTTACATTAATTTGAGAATAATTTATAATTTTACTCACATTTGCATCAATGTAAATGGAACTAATAAGTTAAATCTCAAAGTTATGTGAAACAAGAGACGTAAAGCACTTAAACACTTATATGCCTACCCTGCAGGCCCTGCATTCTCATACAGGCTGCACTTCAAACCAGCAGATGACACCAAAATGCTTGGGCTTGCTACCTATGCTGCATGGGCTATCCATGTTCACAGTGACCCTGTGATAATGACTTTGCTAATTAGGGAGTGCTTGTAGTAATCTTTGGTCCTTCTCTCACCCAGAGTCACTCTGGAAGGTGGCTTGCTGTGACTGGCTCGCTCACCTCTTTGCAGACATGTTATTAACATCTCTTTGTGACCTATCCAGCTCTGTATGCTTCATTAGTCTGTTTGTTCCACTCAGGCATAAACTGCTGATTTTTGGATTAGCTGCTTTTGTCTGTTAATCTGCCCTTGACTCATAGACTGAAATGTTTTAATAGTGGAATTCTGAAGCATTTCAACAGTTGTTTCTGAACCACTTAGTGAGTGCCTTTAGAAAAACCTGCATGCTTTGCTGAGACCTGGGGGGTATTCCTAGACTCTCTGTGTGTGCACCAAGTACTACACAATATGTATAAATGCTATGCTTAGACAGAGGCAAATTCAGCCTAAAGTGGTGTTCTCAGGTAATTATGTGGATCTCAAATTGAAAGCAATAGCATGAGATCTTTTGACTTTACAGAATCAAGAAAAGCTCTGGCTGCAGTTGTCAGAATTCCCTGCACGAAAAAAACCCCACACCAAGTGGCTGATGTGTTGATACAAGCTCTTGCCCTGTTTTCAGCAGCAAATTCTGGCTTGTGGGGGATTCTGCCTTGCTCATCCTTTGACTAGTGGGGCCACACAAGAGTCCCAATGAGGAAATGAGGAAAATAAGGTTTAGCTATAACTTTATTGCAGAAAGATGGGGAAATTAGCATGTAGAATAGTGAAGACAAGAGGGTGCTACCTACACTGTGATTTTGATGCCAGTCAAGCTGATGGCATCTGCATCATTGTTGAGGAAAGAGAGAGAGATCAAGAATCCATGTAAGCTCCCTGGGGGCAGGTACACCCAGCTGTATATCTAAAGTGTGTTCAGCACAGCTACCAGGACAGCAGTGTGTGGCACACCACGTGGCATGTCCTCAATGACAGATCAGGCAAATTAAGGAAAACACCAAGGGTTTGACTGGATATCATCAATAGTTTGATTTATTCTGTGTTTTGTGTCAGAATGTCCAAGCGGGAGAGAAAAATATGCATTTAAATATATTGCTGATGGTTTAATTGCTGAAACTTGCTACTCCATCCCTGCTCAGTTGTAATAATGATCAGGGCATGGAGCATTACTTGAAGAATTAATGGCCACCTGAGGTTAACAGCCCACAGCTAAACCTTGAGCCTTCAGCTTTCTCAGATAGTCATTAATCCCCAGGAATTGTCCTGTGACTCCATCATTACTTCTAATTTAAAAAGAGTATTTTCTCCTTTTAATTTTCTTTTCACAAAATGAAAGTACTCAATTAGACTTTGTCATTAAATCACATCTGCATTGATTACCTAGGAAAAAATAACGAGAGCAAAATTAAATTTGCCTATTTAATCATTGAATCCTGATTAAATATTTGTTATAAACATTTCATTGCAATTAAGGTCGCATAAAAAATGAATATTAGGCAAAGAAGAGTATACAATTCAAAGATGTAACATGTCCAGACTCACTCCTTCTATTTACTTACCCTAATCCTTGCTGAACAATGCACTACATTTGTGAGAAACTTCACAGGTTCTTTTCAGCATCACAGGACTATTAATAGATAACAGTAGCCAGGGAAATGCACAAATGTTTTGGTGATCTGATAGTGAAACCAATTCCAATCACAGTGATGAAGATATTATTAAAAAAACCCCACATTATCACATAATTACTTCAATTTTTATAGGCTAAATAAAGAATGAAAGAAAGCACCTAGGTAAGATTTCAGACAGTGATCCAAATTCTCCAACTTTCTCTCAAGAAGTTGGCGGTCATCAGAAAATCCCCCATTTTTGTCCATGTTCTCTGGTGGGATTCCATAGGACTCTAAGTGCATCTAGAGAGGCACGGTGCTGTGATTCAATGGGTCTGTGGCTCGGTCCCTGTGCAGCCTCAGAGAGGACATTGCACCCTACAGCGCTGTGTGCTGAAACACCGGGGTCTGAGTCAAAGTGAAATCGGCCCACTCAAGTTGTGATTTCATACTGAACTCCAGCAGCAAGTCCAAAGCTAGTTCACAGGGGTATTTGTCACCTTAGCTTTCTCTGCTGCAGAAAGGCCATGCTGACACACAGATACATTAACAGGGAGTTAGGCGTCCTTCCTTTTGTGGCTGGGAGAAGGGAATTGCCATCACCCAGACGGAGCTGCTGCTGCTTCTTCTTTCTTCGTTTGTGGACAGATTTTGGCACCAAAGGTGGGGCCTGAGAGCACTGAGAGGAAAAGGGCAAAAAAGGCATAACAGTTCTTAAATAACCTAATTTTTTGTACTGGATATAGAAACATCATTGGGTGGAACCATGTGGTCCAGCTTACCCAGGTTTGGGTGGCACGTGGTCATGGCTACACTTCTCCCATTTGCAGGTCCTATAACTAAGGCTACTGTAGCTATTTTCCAGTTTGTTTTGTGGGTTGATGAGATGAGGAATTCATGGATGTTTAACTTCCTCTGGAAGGTGGGCTCATGGATTCAGAGCTATCACACACTATGGTTTTGGGGTTGCTTTAATAATGGTACCTACTGGGAGAAAATGACACCAAGGAAAATTTTCTCCTAACCCTTCACCCTGTTCCTTGGGCCTACCCCACCAGTTTTCGAAGGGTTAAAATCTTCTCTGGATGCTTCACATCATACAGCAGCTGGTGTTGCTGATAGGCCTGTTCTGTTAAGCATTCAGGGAGAGATAAGGGGAGATTGACTGGGATAACCACCCTGACACTTATTCAAGAGACTAGGGGTGCTGCCCAGAGCCTAACACCACCCCAGAGACAGGGGGTGCTGCCCCAGAACTTGACACAACCCCAGAGACAGGGAGTGCTGCTCCAAAACCTGGCACAGCCCCAGAGACAGGGGCTGCTGCTCTAGAGCCTGCCCCTGCCCCACAGCCCACCTCAGAAATGAACCACCCAGAGTAGGTGGGGGTTCTGGTGAAGG